AAAAAAACAAAATATTTTATGGTTATTAAAGCAATTAAGATTGCGTGTGTTTTTTTTTTCAAATAATCTGTTTTATGGTTATTAATGCATTATAGGGTTACGTCTTTTTGATTAAGAGTTTTATGGTTATAGAAAAATTTAAGGGTTGCGTCTTTTTGAAAAAATATTTTATGGTGATCAGTGCATCGTAGGATTGCTTTTTTTTTTCTTTAAACACCATTTTATAAGGTTGCATATTTTTGAAAAATATGTTTTGTGGTTATAAATGCATCATAGGATTATTTAAAAAAAATCCATTTTATGGTTACTAATGAATCCTTGAATTGTATCTTTTTGAAAAAAATTCGTTTTATTGTTATTTATGCATCATATGGTTGTGTTTTCTCGAAAAATGTTTAGTGGTCGTTATGTATCATATGGTTGTGTCTATCGTTTTATGTGAAAATGTTTCACAGGATTCCGTCTTTGAAAAATAATGTTTAATTTTATGAAACGTTAAATTATTGTCTAAACCCTGAAGTTAAATATAAATGATTTTTTCTTCATTACATAGCCTTCATAAGTCTGATTTGGATTATCTCAACTTAAAAATCGATAATAACCATGTTTTAAAATATATTAGTGATGATTATGAGTTTATATTTACATGCATGTGTGTCGAAAATAAATTGTATATTTTGGTTGTGTTGGCACCATAAAATTTTTTAAAAATGTAGTCAGAGTTTATTACTCCTCCCGATTTTGCGGAGGGTCGAGTCCTAGTCATAAATAAAGATATATAGAATTTATTTCCTTTCCGATGTTTGGTGCTTTTGCCGGTATCGTAAGAGGGAGAGGCTTTTTAATTAGTATTTTCTACGCTCGACATGAAATCTAGAGGATGTCCTGGAATTTTTGGTAAGAACGATGTGATGTTATTTGCCATTTGGTTTTTATGAGTTATTGTGATTTTTTTGATTGAGTTTAGTTTTTCTCGGTGAAGTTTTTAGTTGAAATTTTTTCCCTCGTAAAAGATCTATAGTTTGTTTTACATGATTAGTTTCTAGTCAGTTTTGGCTATCTATTTGATTTAAGTTTTGCAATTAAAACTTGCTCAACGGCGATTTCAGTGAAGCTAACTCGGAATAAAATTGACAAAGACAATCAAAGAAAGAAATTTATCTAAATCAAGAGAATTGTTAACATGTTATCGTAATAGATATTGGAAGTCTACTTGCTATTGTGGATTCGGAAACACATAATTGTCCACCTTTGATTCGAAACAAAATCATCTTGGTACGATTATTATCCCCACTTAATTTCAGGTGTGGAAAAGACCATTAATTTATTTTTGTATTTCATCTGTTGAATTTTTTTAGTGATATAATCTATTTTAAGTCATTTTTAATAAAATATAGTGTAAAAAAAAAGATATTGAAATTTTGGTTTAATCAGATTTAGTTCTCAAATTGTAATATGTCGATATTATTGTGTATATACAACTTT